ATTTTTCATTAATGTGAATAAGGCTGTATTGTCTGTAGTTGTAACATCAAGCCCGAAAGTAAGTGAATGCATTGCCCTTCATTCTAGTGTTTGTTCATCTAGGGGTAACAATGAACTGTTACTATAGCTCTATTTAGGCTGTAATTGTAACCATAGCTAGGTCTTGATGCCCTCATTTGAGCTGGTTAGAATAAACACAATTGAGTTGTCCCCCTTAGATGCTTTATTCACAGCACAACAATCTGTCCAATGCATTGCCTATCAGTGCTTTCTGAGAAAATCTGGCCTGCTGTCTTTCATTGCATCAGCAGGGGATAGAGGAGAGGCACACAGATTAATACCAGCATCCCTCAAGATAAAGTATTCTGGGGTGTCTTGCTGCACAATTTGGAAAGGAGGAACAGACTTCTAAGCTACATCCACTCAGGATCGTATCTGTATGGCAGAAGTGCTATAATTAAATTACAGAAACATAATAGTGTCAGCCAAGGCTGTTGGCAAAGGTGACATGGCAAACTGCCAATGGCTAGTAACTGAATATTAACCATGCTTGTATGTGGAGACAATCTAAGTTTAGAATTGATCATATCAATAGCCAATTAGAAACTTAGCATCTGCTTCAGAGATTTCTTAGTGACTGACGAGATCAACAGTCAATTAGGGGTTTCTGTGTATGAAGACATAATGAAGGACAAAAACTAAACTAACTCTTGAAATTAAAGAAACACATTGTTTCATTTTTTACTCTAACAGACTCTTCATAAAATAATTAGATTATCTAATAGTGTAGCCTTAAACTCTACCAAATGAAGGCTTACAGCTCCAGATATAGTTAGGTGCCTAAATGCTTTAGATTTACCGTTGGAGGAATTCTGCAGCCTGTGTGGGGCACAGATTTATTTGCTTCCCCACAGCTAATAGGGTGCACACACCTTCCACATCAGTTCAGTCATGGCTAGTGAGGGGTAGGCAACAGGCTCAACAGCAGAGAGCAGATCATGAGATGGCAGCAACATGTACAGGGGAAGGAACCTGGATGTGCATGCCTCTATGGAGAGTAGGGGTGTAAGCAACTTATTGACTTGTCAACTACCTTTTTTTTTCTTTTTCTTTTTTTTTGGGGGGGGGGGGGGGGGAGAGAAGAGAAGAGGAAGAGATGCTAGGGAAGGCCAGCTTAAGAGCTCACAGAGGCTCTTGTGTTTCAAAGTGTAAGTGCCTGCAAGGAGCCCAGGGTCAGCAGGCTTCCCTACTGGCCCCAGGCTCCAAATGGCATTTCAATCTTTGAAATGCCCAAGAGCACCTGCTGGGGGCTCTTGTACATGTACAAAAGTAGAAATTCCATTGACTTCATTTAGTTAATTAATCCAAATTGAACATCCTTAATGGAGAAACATTAAGGGCTTGTCTACACTGGCCCCTTTTCTGAAAGGGGCATGGTAATTTCAGAAATCGTAATAGGGAAATCCACAGGGGATTTAAATATCCCCCACGGCATTTAAATAAAGATGTCCACTGCTTTTTTCCAGCTTTTAGAAAAGCCGGAAAAGAGCATCTACACTGGCCCCAATCCTCCGGAAAAAGCGCCCTTTTCCGGAGGATCTTATTCCTCCTTTTTCCGGAGGATCGGGGCCAGTGTAGGCGCTCTTTTTCGGCTTTTCTAAAAGCCAGAAAAAAGCGGCGGACATTTTTATTTAAATGCCCAGAAATTCCCTATTACGATCTCTGAAATTACCATGCCCCTTTCGGAAAAGGGGCCAGTGTAGACGTAGCCTGAGAGATGGGGATGGGTGGCTGCCTGTGAATGACTGAGATCCACAGTCTTCAGTTTACACATACAGATTGTAAAGGAAACAGATTTTACTCACTGGTTTTATGTCAAGTGATAAAGTCTAACTTGCTCTTGACTGAATAGTATCAGCTAATTTGAGTGGAGCTAAATATTGAGGGAAATTGTATGAGCCATATTGCCAAGTGCAAGCTCTTTCCCATTATTTGGCCTCTGATACCTATTCTAATATTGGGGATCACAGACGGAGATGGAATGTGCTTATCAGTTCCATAGCCAGTGCTATTAGGACAACTAAGGGCAAGTCCTTAGTGATTATTCAGGTCCTCCCTACAGTTCTCTTTATCTAAGGCAACTACTTTAAGTTGCACCAAGGTGAAAATTTGTTATAAGTTACTTCCCTATACTTCTGGCCCTACCAAATTCATGCTCACAAAACTCAAACTATTACATTTGCCTCCTTTTATTGTATACTATGAATACTTTACAAGACTAGTGTTGGGTCACATTGCCCAAGTTGAACAAGAGGGTGTTACAGGGAGGTTGCAAAGTTGTTTTAGGGAGAGGGTCACACTATTGCTCCTCATGTGCTGCCTTTGGTGCTGGGCAGCTAGAGTGCCAAATTCTGACCTGTACCACCCTTTCTGCACTGCCACCTTCAGAAGTAGGTGGCAGCTGTGACAGCATGCTGAGCCCTGCAGTCTGTTCTGCCTTCAGAGCTGGGCACTGGAAGCTGCTGGTTGGGAGCCTAGATCTGGTGGCAGTTCTGCCACCAAGAACAGCACAGAAGTAAGGGTAGTGGTATGTAATGCTGTCCTTGCCGCGCCCCCCCCACACCCCTTTCCTTTGAGACCATGATGCAACTCCTTTTGTTAGGATCCCTACAAATATAACACCATGAAATTTAAAAAAATCCCACAACTCAAATTTAGTGACCATGAATGCAATCGATCCCTACTCAACCATTACATTGTAATATGAAAATAAGCTGTAACATTGTTCTAGAGGCACTAATTTGTTTAAATGGAAATTTTCCTTTAGTGACAAGGTATCACTAGGGTTAAGGTTTGATGTTATGAAGTCAGAATCAGTATGGTGGATGCATTTCCATGCAATGCCATAAGACTGCAAGTACTGCCATAAGACTGCAAGTACTGCCATAAGACTGCAAGTACTGCATACTTGAAAGACAAATGGGGAATTTAAGTAGAGGCTAGTTACAAAATACAGCCAAAAAGTTTGTTCAAATAATTTTATTTCTCAATTTGTTTTGCATCTTTCACTGAAGACAAAATAAAGATACAGCAATGTCTGCAAGGAACATTTTCATAAAATTCAGATTTGATACAATTGTACAAATTGGCTTCAGGAATAAGTCAGATAAACAGTTTGAAAAAAGCTACAATTCAGTGTTTAAGAACTGAATTGAAGGGGCAACTTACTAGCAAATAAATCTAAGAAAGCTACCATCCATCAACACAAGGCTGAGAGGAGCTGAAAGTTCTGTTGCTATAGGTCACATGGTAGCTAGCAAAGACTAACTTGTACTTTAATTTTGCAAGGAAACTCAATTTTAAACATCTGAGAGGCAGCCCAAGCATGTGCCTGGCAACTCATTCTAAGTTGCCAGAGAAACCAAGTCCTAGCTATGATTTTAAATCAAGTTACTGAAGTTTAGCAAGCCAAGCATATAGGTTGCTGCATAAAACTTGTCTTCCTAGATGAACACTAAACATAGTTCTGCAAAAACTGTTACAAAATTCAAGCTTCCTGAAAATTGACATTCTGGCACTAAGATCCTGGGTTTCCTAAGTAGCAATAGCTAACACCAAGGGATTAATCTAAGTAAGGCAAGTTACCTCCTCCCCCCCCTTCAAAGCTTTGGCCTCAAATTGATTTCAAAATAAAGGCACTTAAATTCAGATGCTTAATGAGCACACAGTTTAACTTCAATCAAGATCAGTGTGAGACTAAGTAAGCATTTTAGCAAAGTTTTACACAGTAATTAAACTACAAGTTTGTGTTGTTTTCCCAAGTGTCCTGTAGCCTTTTGGTGCAAGTTTAAGACCAAAGTGTTGAGAGATGAGAGAATCCGGTACAATACTAAATGTTTAAGGAATACTATTGGCAATTGTGAACTTTATAAGTCTTATTTGCCACATTAGAAATAAGTGCATGGATCATGTTCTTTTCTTCCATAACTTCATTTGGGCAAATTCAGGAGATGGGAATGACAGGCTAAGTGACTTAAAATAAGGCTAAAGAGACACCATCCAAATGTCACTTGCTGGAAGTTGGGTTATCAAATTGTTAATAAAACAGAGCTGACTACTTGGCTTTTATCAGGAGTGCATTAACTTGCAATTCCCTGAAGGTACAGCACTGTGACAAAATTATCCATCAAGTTTGTCTATGTAGTTTGTTACACTGAATGCTGTTAGAGCATGAGGAAGCAAAGTTCACTGCAACTAAAACTGTTTTTCACATGCTAGAAAACCCACACATTGCTCTGACTTATAGTAATCATGCCATCAGTGTTTAGACACCCAGTTTAAAGATAAATATCTTTAATCATGCAAGTCAGTAGCTGCATAAGACTATAGAATTTCCTCAAAATAGGGATAAGGAACACCATCCATTTTAAATCTAGTTGTTTTGATAGTTAAAACTTCAAGAGCTTGCCAACTGCATGAAATGTTCATACAGAGAAGGTGTAGGCAGTGGAGAACAGTGAAATTTACTATGCACAAAGCAAACATCTGTTATAATCTTGAACATCTAACAATAGATAATCACATTTAACATTTTCAGATAAGTTGGTGCCCTTTTCAAGTTAGGCATGTGAACTTATGCTATATATAGCCTTCCTAGGCTTGCCTTCTTACAGGCCAGAAACAATTTGAGTGTTAATGAAATCCTAGTTCACATTAGTCCAATATCCCAATCCCTCAGGCACAAGAGGTCAGAAAATGGTCAGTCATGCTTTTGATGCAGTGAATGTTGAGTTTGGAAGAGTACTCTGGCACAAACATTTGTATTTGCAACCTATATTTAAGGCACTGAACTTAACTTCTCCTTACATGGAAGGGAAATTCTCACCACCCTTCCAATTAGAACTACTGAAGAGGCCAAATTTAAGAAATTAAAGTGTATAATGCAATTTGCTGGTTGGTATCTTTAATCCTCATGTAGAAAAATATGAGTTTGACATTTTCACCAAAGAGGATATTTTATGAAAAGAAACTGGTTTCTACAAGCCTTCATTCACTTTACTTGCAATTTGCTATAAGAGTCACAAGCTAGCACAAATGGTCTTTACTCCCTGAAATCAGTGATAAATCAGTGATAATTTGTCTGATAAAAATTATAGGGATACCGCACTTAAGGTTGGTTAAATCAGCCTCCAATCATAAGAGTCTACTCAAGACAGTGGTAACACTGAATACAAGAACCATTGTAGGTCTACATTTGGCATGTGAAGATTAGAAGTCCCACAGCTGCAGCCACTAAAGACAATCACAAGGACTCATGCAGCATATTCAGTACCTCTGAGCCAGAGAGATTCATACCATCTCTTGCCAAGTATAGCGTTGCAAAAAATATCATCCTTTCAAAAAGTCTTTTGAAGATTTAAAGAATATTCTGAACTGTGGCGTTCCATATGGGACAAAACATTTTGGTTCAGTCAACTACAGGTGTTGGGCTACTAGTCCATTGTAAAATGGCAGATTCTAGAGAGTATGATAGTTTCGATCTTTGGACCTGCAGAATTTATACAGGAAAAAGATTACAGCCTGCAGACCCAGCACAAGGACAATCCCACCGATGAAACTTGCAGCATCAAATGTAGACTTGTGAGGAGCTGGTTTAGGGGTACTTCCTGTAGCAGTTGTACCTGTTAAATAGCAAACAGAAGTCATTTACAGTAGTGATAGAATCTGGTGTTTTCCTTCTTGTACTAGGAATTTTTACTAAAAGGCTTGATACTAAACAGATTTTGCTTTCTTAATTCACAAGTGAGAAGCAAAAAATTCCAAGAACCCCCCCCACCCTCACTGATATGGCCCTCAACTGCAACACCTCACTCCCCTGGGGCTCCAGTGCCACAGTGGAGGAAAGGGCAGAGGGGAGGAGTGAGGTTTGAGGCCTCAGGCCAGATTTACTCTTCTGGGTTTCCAGAGCTAATGGATTTTGTGGGTCCCCCTACACTGCAGGGTGGGGGGAAAGTGAGGGGTTAAGTGTGTGGGACAGGGCTGCAGGACCAGGTGAAAGGGTGAGGTCTGAATGGGCAAGTGCAGAAGCAGGCTGGGGGCAGGGTGTCTGGCAAAGGGGAAGGGGGGCAAGAGCATGCTCACCATGTTGCAGGTACTGTGTAACATGGTCTCCCACTATTCCCATTTGCAGGATTCTGGCCATTGGTGGTAAAAAGGGGAAGCCTCCAGGAAGTGCATCCCTGGGAGGCGGTTCCTCCAGCCAGGGACAGAAAACAGTGTGGGGAGCCATTTAGTCTCTGCTTGTTCCCCACATGCCAGTCCCAAGCCTCCCTGCTGGGCCATGGGTGTGGCCAGTTTCCTATAGTCCCTTAAAGTTTGTTACAGCCACCAGTCCTGGCTCTATTGGGTGCCATTATTTAACTCAAGACATTTAGGGATAAACTAAAGAGCCCAATAAGCAGTGGAAGTGTTGGTAGTGCTGCTAGACAATACGGACTTTCCACATATGAGAATTCTCTGGTTTGGCATGAGTTAGGTGCCAAGATTGCCAGACTAGAGAGGTTCAATCTTTTACCCACCCTACAGTATTTTTTGCTCCTATTTAGTCCAGTGACCTTATTAAAAAGCCTCAATCTGTGCCTGAGCAATAAAATCTTCTAGCAACAAGAATACTGGGTCAGACCAAAGGTCCACCTAGCCTGGTATCCTGTAATCAAGTGATCCATCCTCTGCTTCTCAGAGGCTAGGAACACTATCCCTGCTCATTCTGGCCAATAACCATTGTGGACCTATCCTCCATGAATTTCTCTTTTCTAAGCCCTGTTCAAGTCTTGGCAATCTCAGCCTCCTCTGGGAAGAAGTTCCACAGGTTGACTATAGTGTGAAGTACCTGGTTTTTAACCTGCTACCTATTACATTTGGTGACCCCTAGTTTGAGTACATAACTTTTCCTTGTTCACTTTTTCCACACAAGTCACAGACCTCTATCCCCTTAGTCATTTCTTCAAGCTCTTCTCCTGGCCTTCTGACCTTTCAAATACCAAAATGTTTTGAGATAAGGTGACCACATCTGCATGCAGTATTCAAGATGTGGATGTACCATGGATTTATATAAAAGCAATAAGATTATTTGCCTTGTTCTCCAACCTTTTAAAAAAGACTATTGCTAACATTGTTTGCTTTGCCTGCTGCTACACAGTGAGGCTAAGGCTACAGTACAAGTTCAGCAAAAATATGCTAATGGACTCATTTGCATGAGTCATATCTGCATATTATCCTGCCAATCCGTTTTTGCACAAACACAAGCAGTATGGACTTTTGCGCAAAAACCTTATTTCCTGCAAGATTAAACTTTTTGGGACATAAGGATCTTGCGGGAAAAGGTATTTTGCCCAAAAAGAAAAGTTCACACTGCTTGTTTTTGCACAAAAATGGTGCAGACTATGCAAATGATATTGAGACTCATGTAAATGAGTCCCTCATTAGCATTTTTTGCTGAGAACTCAGTGTAGACATAGCCTGAGTGTTTTCAGAGAACTATCCACAATGACTCTGAAGAGCTCTCAAGTGATAAGTTAAAATGGAGACTAATTATATGTACAATTGAGATGGTTTCCCAATATGCATTACTTTGCATTTATCAAAATTTAATTTATCACTTGCCTAGTCACCTAGTTTCATGAATGCTTTTGAAGCTCTGCAGACTTTTGTACTTTGCTATCTTGAGCAGTTTATCTGCAAGTTTTGCCACATGAGCATTACCCTTTTCTCCAGATCATTTAAATAGGAATGGTCCCAATAGAGACACCACTATTTATCCCTCTCCAGTCTGAATACTGGCCATTTATTCCTGCTCTTTGGGGGGGGTTTAGACTGGATCCACTCCATGAGGACATTCCCTCATCTCATGGTTTACTTGCAGTAAGGAGCCTCTTGGTACTCAAGTTAGACTGACCAACCTGTAATTGCCAGGATGAACCTCTAGAGTATTAAAAAATAGGCACCACATTTGATAGAGAAGATGATTTAGATGGAGGATTGTTACAAACCACAATTAGCAGTTCTAGAGTTTCAGAAGTCTAGAGTAAGTGCCATCTGGTCCTAGAGACTTACTATTTAGTTTTAATCAATTTGTTCAAAAAACTGACCTCTGTCTGGGACAGTTCCTCAGATTTGTCATCTAACAAGAATCCAAACCTGAGCCAATCTCCCTCACATCCTCAGCAGTGAAGACTACAGCAATGAATTCATTTAGTTTCCCCACAGTGACCTTAGCCTTGAGTGCTCCTCTAGCACCCTAATCATTGAGGCCCCAGAGGTTAAGTACTTAGTGTGCTTTGAATTTTGGCTAGCTGTTTGTCAAATTTGATTTTTACCTTCCTAATTTTTAGCACACTTAGTTTGTGCCTTTCCATTTTCCTCACTAGGCTCTAACTTTTTAATGCCTTCCCACTGCTTTACTTGGGTAAGCAATGGTAACACTTTCTTGGTTTACTTTTTTTAATTTGGAGTATACATTAAGTTGAGCTTCTATTATGGTGTTTAATAGTTTCTATTCAACTTGCTGAAATTTCACTTTTGGCACTGTACTTTTTCATTTCTATTTACTAAACCTAATGTGTGATCTCCCTTTACTAAATGCTATACTGTTAGGCTGCTGTTGTATTTTTCCTGCCACGGGGACGTTAAGTTTAGTTATATTATGGTCACTATTTCCATGTGGTCCAGCCATATTCACCTTCTGGACCAGATAGTGTGCTCCACTTAGGACTAAATCAAGAATTCTCTCGTGGATTCCAGAACTGGCTGCTCCAAGAAGCACTTGAACTTTATCTGTGTTGTACTCAGTGAGTGTGGGGTAGCTGAAGTCCCCCACTGAGTTTTTTTTAAAAAAAGACAGGATTTATATCACAATGCATATGGCCCCAGATATTGTAGCCATCAAACAGGTTTTTAAAAGCTTTCCTTGTTAAGTGTATTTCGTGAGGTGGTATATTTGAACTGACTTCAAGATCTAGACTCTTAAACTTGCTCCTATGTTGCCTACGATAGAGAAACACTATGACTGGTCCATGGATTGGTACACCAGTACCTGAGAAGCAAGCTGGTTCATTCTATTAAAGAAATTGAGAAACTGAGAATTTTTACCCATTGTCATCATGAATGCAAGTATTCTGACTGTCATTGGGCTTCATGTTCCTCTTGTGCTGAAATACTTGCCTGACTGGAATTAAGCCAGTCAAACTGCTTAATATGACCAATCCACTTAGTTTGAAATCCCACTGATCTTTGTTACTGTCACGAAAGTATTGCAGATACAGATATTCCACCTTTATAAAGCTAATTGTGGCATGCAAGATCATGAATTTCTTGCACTTACTATTCTTCACTACTACTTGTACCTACTAAATTATCTCCCCACCCCCTGGAAAAAAGTTACTTATACTGTAAGTAAAAAAAGTTACCTGGTGTACTGATTGTTGTGAGAACTGAAGTACTTGAAGCAGTAGATGATGCAGCAGGTAAAGTTGTGTTGGTGATGTTCGCTGTTTGGTAGAGAGAAACTTCCCAGTTCAAGTGTACAGACATATCACTAAGCTCTATATCTGTAATTGCTTTGGTTTGTATAGGTTCTCCTCAAGCAAGAACTACCCTTAAAACGCAGACTATGTATACACAGAATAGAGGTACTTAGCATGCAGTTTGTAAGTTGACATCTTTGTAAGCTGTTATTTCAGATACCATGTGTATTTAAAAACTATTAACTTAAAAGCTCTGCTATTATAAATGATTATTAATTTACACTAGAAGTTTTTATTTGTATTGAGCACCAACATAACTGATTTGAAACAATTCCCTTAGCTAGATGTCTGTCATTTACACAGAAGAACCTTATAGTATTATGAGCACTAATCCTACAAATAAACAATATGGACCACATTTCCTGACTGAAAAGTAGATGAACAAGTTTACTTCCTTTCATATTCCCATGCCTTCAATCACTGGTAATTCCTTTGTAGTTTCAAAGGAATGCCCTGATCCTATTGTAATCAATTTTTATAAAAAACAAGGGTTCTGCCAAAGTTTGCTTACAGTTACCTTACTTAGCTCAGTTATCACTTAGTTACAGCAAATATTTACCTATTGTAGCAGAAGCAGCTGTGGTAGCATTAATTATGGTAGCATTAGCAGTTGTGGTAGCAGCAGTTGAGGAATCTGTAGAATTGGCTGTAAAAAATAGAGTTAACTTATGATTGATACTCCCATTTAAGGATTGTAAAATGCTTAAATGAGCCATTGTGAATGCTATAATGAAATAGATAGGTATGTCAATGTGTAGATAACTGATAAGCCTGAGTTTACAAGTTGATCCTGTTGACTTCACATTTCTCTCCTCTTCCAGCCTCTATCAGAAGCAGCAGTGTGGGGTGGTAGGCAGCCAGTCTGCATGGGGAGCTGGTTTTTAAACCATCTCCTCTTGCAGACCAGCTCCTGCCTGCCACTCTGCACTGCTGCCTCAGAAGCATCAACATGGAGCCCCCTGCTGCCCCAGGGGTGAGGCCTGGAGTGCACTTTGCATTCATTCTGGGGTGCCATATTTGCCTTAGTGATGGACTTCAGGATAAATAATCAGTTTACAAAGAGTTTTTTCCAATTGCTAGTCACTAAACCTGAAATCAGAAGTACAAGGTTCTTTTGGCTTCTACACAGAAGACTAGAACTGGAAGGGACCTTGAGAGGCCATCAATTCCAGTCCTCTACCCTTATGGCAGGACCCAGCAATCTAGCTAAACCTTTTCTTAGAAATCTCCAGTTAGGGACGCAAGTGACTAGTCGACTACCCAATAAGCATATGCTTATTGGGAAGTTGAGTAATGACTCAACTAGTTGCTTCCCTTCACCCTGCTGCCTCTATCAGAGAGGTAGCAAGTGGGGGAGGGGTGGAACAGGAGGTGGGGGAGAAAGAAGAGAGCAGGAGCCAGTGCCAGGTGAAGCCAACTTAAAAGCCAGTCCACTCATCACCATCTCCTCAGGGGCAGGTGAGGCAGAGGCATCCCAACTGCTGCGCCTCTTTGAAACACACAAGAGCCACCCACCTACGGCTCTCATACATTTCAAAGGCAGAGGTACAGTGGAATAGCAAGTGCCCCCGACTGTGGGGTATCCAACACTGGGGAGAGGGACACTAGAAATTTTATTGACTACTCAATTAGCTGATATTTGAAAAAGAATTCTTCAAACAGTGTGTAGTCAACCTGTGGAACTCCTTGCCAGAGGAGGCTGCGAAGGCTAGACTATAACAGAGTTTAAAGAGAAGCTAGATAATTTCATGGAGGTTAGGTCCATAAAAGGCTATTAGCCAAGGGATAGAAATGGTGTCCCTGGCCTTTGTTTGTCAGAGGCTGGAGAGGGATGACATGAGACAAATTGCTTGATCATTGTCTTTGGTCCACCCTTTCTAGGGCACTTGGTGCTGGCCACTGTTAGACAGGCTACTGGGCTAGATGGACCTTTGGTCTAACCCAGTACGGCCGTTCTTATGTTATCTAACATACCTCTCCCCAGTGTTTGATATTCCACAATCTCTAGGCAATTTATTCCTGTTTACCACCACCCTCACAGGAAGTTTTTCCTAATGTTCAACCTAAACTTTCCTTACTGCAATTTAAGCCCATTACTACTTGTCCTAGCATTTTTTATATTTGACTAAAATTTGACTAAAATTTTCCCTGTTTCAACTCTTTATGGCTCTATTAGCTCTGTATTGCTATGAGATCTAGGTTTCATTGTACTTTACACAGACTAGTTAAAAGTTTTGACTGTAGAATCTTATGATGTACCTAAAAGGATGTTATGGGAAGAAGAGGGGAAAATGTTCTCATTATATATATATATATAAATAAAATCAATGAGAACATTTTCCCCTCTTCTTCCCATAACATCCTTTTAGGTACATCATAAGATTCTACAGTCAAAACTTTTAACTAGTCTGTGTAAAGTACAATGAAACCTAGATCTCATAGCAATACAGAGCTAATAGAGCCATAAAGAGTTGAAACAGGGAAAATTTTAGTCAAGCCAACAGATAAAGTTTCTTGAAGTGTGTATTTGGGTAAGGAAGGGTTATTTTCTGCCTGTTTTCAGCTTCAGCAAGAAAGTGTGCACCTGTTATGAATAGTAATTCAAAGATACCATCCAACAGTGATTTAGATATAATAAGCCTATTTTCAAGTATGGCACACACAATTTACACAAAATTGGATTTCTAAATTGAGTATCTGTTACATATGCAATTTTGCACATATCTAGTTTTGGAAAGCCAGCCCTTAAAGACTGACTGTTCCTACCATATGAAACAAAGCTGGAGCCAGTATAACACCCCAGATAAGAGTCAAATGAGTAGTGTATATATATTTTAAAAAATGCTAAGACTTAAATTTTTCCCAGAGGCAACATACAATTGAGAGCAGCTGAGCAGAAGTGTCCTCTTTCAACAAGAAAAAAAGCTACAATAGTAGCCAATGTACTTGGATATTTTTAAGCAAGGTAAGCTGCTTAAAGGCAACAATATGTACAATGAGAGAGGTTAAAATGCTTCCTTAAACAGTTACAAATTTAAAGTAAGTTTAACTGGACAATTCTCTTGAAGCTTACATACTATATAGATTTGTTTATGCAAGATAGTTTGTAGATGCTTATAGTTATTGTATCAGAAGCTAGAAAGAATAGGATCAGAAGCTAGAAAGAATAGGAAGACTGTCTCAAATAGCCAGATTAGAAGAGTCTGCATTGAGTTGGCCTAAACAATATCCATATACTTACAAGAACACTGAGAAGTGGCAGTACAGTTGGAATCTGTTGCGTTTCCACAGGAAAAAGTTTCTCCTGCCCAAAAAAAAGTATAGGAAGAGACTTAGTTCTGGGAGATAGTTTTCGAAGGGACTGCAGTGTTGGAATGCATGTCCTTTTTAATATTCATCCATAGCCTCCTTACCAGTAGGGAATCGGTCTTGAAAAGCCTGATGCACAATTAGTAGCAAAGATTTTCTGTGGTGCTTCAGGTAGACTGTGGTTAGTGGGCCTTTAAAAGTTCTGCTTTTAGTTATATTTTGGGCATAATATTCAGCTGCCTCTTTTAACAGTTTAAAGATTAGTTAAACTATGTCAGTTTTTCTATTAGTATCCTAAAGCAGTAATGGATACAAACAGTTAGAATAAGTTAAGATTGTTTTGGAGAAATAGTGAAAAGCAGTGTTATCATTAGTCACCCCTTTTAGTGAAAAAAAATCAGACCCAGAGACCCACATCTAGTTATTTTTGCAATTTTTACCTGAGCAATTAATCCACTTGCATTCTGTTCTATTAACACAATCATGGCAGGTGGTGATAGCCTCACAGCTGGCTGAAAAAAAGCACACACAATTATGGGCCACATGATCACCAGAAGATCAATGTTTCCAAAGTTTTCCAGAATTTTTAAGTCAGATTAGTTTTACTTAGAGGATCTCCGTATCATCCTCAAAAGTGCTTTACATATGAACTGAGTCAATCCAAGAAAGCAGCATCTCTATTTTCAGATAAGCTGTTGCCCAGCTTAATTCACAGAAAGCCATGGCATGAAAACCAGATTGACAACACTAGTCTTGTCTTACATCCCCCCCCACCCCCACCCGGTCACTCTCCTCCCCCACCCCCAGTATTGAGATGTCATCACTAACATTAGGCTGGAGTGGATTCAAATGCCTTTTACTCCAGAACAATACTATTACTATTCCAATGTCATGCACCAGATGCACCAATTATACCATATATAGTGGCCTCTGAATATACTAAAAATTTAATTGGAGAACAGAAAATTTACAAGGGTATGTCAGAGACAAGAAAAATCCATGGCAGGACAATGGCAGCTGACATTCAAGAGACTGAGGCTTCAGGACTGTTTCTCTGCTGTGCAAGATGCCTAGGCTCTTGACTCAAAGATCCTGTGCAGCTGGGAGGGTCCCAGAGGCTCAGGCACCAGAGTCTCAGCCTGACCTAGTTGGCATGAACTAAGCATGACTTTTGCTGTGTAGACATATCCTAAGTCTGCCCACCAGACTTCACAGGAATGTGTTGAAACCTCAGAGTAAACGCCTTTATTAAAGGAAGAGACAGCCAGAAAAATACTCAGTTAAATACTTACAGGAGAAAGCAACATGTCACTTGAGGGCTTATACCAATTAGGCCAGCATTAAGGGTTACAGTTTTACCAAAGAGTGCTGAATAGACCAAACTGAAAATAGTTTTCCTGTTTTACCATATAAAAACGGCACCTAGTTTTGTATGGACTCACTCTGGATCTCCAAAGAGATCTGCACATACTAAAGTAAGTTTCTCAACAAGCACTCCAAAGAGACTTTGCTAAGGCAGCAAAAAGTTTCTTCAGCATTCATTGTGCAACAGCATGCAATTTGATAGTACACGCATTAGCTGATAAAATGCTAACTGTTAAAGTTGAATTTTCCATACACTAGACCTCTATTCTGGCTCCTGGAGTGGACAAGTACTATAAAATGCTTTAGAGCAGGGGTTCTCAAACTTTGTGATACCACAACCTCCTCTTCCCCCAAGCTGCTGCAACCCCCTGGGGGGTTGGGGACCCACAGTTTGAGAAACACAGCTTTAGAGAACAGTCTTAAGTATTAATCAGAATAACTGCACTAGACCTGACAGCTGTACATGGGTAAAAGATGCATCTCCCTCAGGTTCAAATATCAAGGTCCCTAAGTTCTGCAAAACAGTAACTCAGAAAATGAAGACTGATTATTCCTTTCTGCTGAATATATATACACTCATTCATATGAGTCTGTTGCAAGTAGTTTGAGATAGTTGGAAGATACTAGTAACTGAAAAAGCCAGAAATGGCTTACAGGACAGAGGCCATCTACTCTCACTGGGTTTCCCCAACATGTGGGGCCTGGTACTGTACTTATTTTTGTAACTAGAAAGTTGTCAGCTTGTCTAACTCAACCCCATCTTTTGCAATACTAAGATTTAAGATACATAATTCATGCAATACCAGCTTTGATTTCCTCCCCAACAAAGTGCTTCTTCATCTGGAAGTAGATTAGGAGTTAAAATTTTATTGACTACCTGCTTATCAACTAATTGTGTAGTTGAGGGAAGGTGGAGTCCCAGCTTGTGCCGGTCTGGGAGCTACTTTTGCCATGGCTCTGCAGTTTAAGTGTAGTAAGAGCCAGACAGCTCCTGCCCAGACAGCGCGGGCCCACCATGTTTAGGGCCTGCCTTGCAGCAGCCTCCCATGCCCCCAACATGCTAGCCAAATAGCCACATGTGGCTATTTGGGCTGGTAGAGCGCAGCTAGTTTCAAAACTGGTTGACGCCACAGTTTTAGGGTCTTGAATTCAGTCCTTTAATAATTGAGGCACCCTTATCCCAAAGGGAGACATGCAGGCACAGTCCCTTGGAGAAACTTGAAGTCTTGAGTATTTCTCCACTTCCTAGAGAAAGTTTCAATAGGATTGACACACTGATCCCATTCCACAGGAAAGCTGGTCCAGCTATCCAGCAATTATTGCCACAATTCCTACAGAGGCACAGATTTAAAAACCCAGCTTGCAAGTTCTCCTCTGTGGATGGATATATATATATTGCTAGTGACCATATCCTAAATAGAATCTGAATAGCACTCATCTGCAGATACTTTCCCATAATGCCACACAGGCAACTTGGCACTGCACTTCAATGGTGATGGCAGGACAGAAGCTGCAGCCAAGATATAGCAGCTGACACCAGTTTTGTTGAGGTTCTCAGTGCAGATTGCATTCTCTTTAGGGCAGGGACTTTGTTCTATTTGTACAGCCCCTAATCAAAACAGGGTCCTAGCCCATGATTCTCAGGCTCCACAGTAATACAAAAATAATTTAGTCACAAGGAGTCAGATCTTTAGATGCCATCAAAGAGTACTCTTGTCAAACCTAAAAGGTTGCGTTCAGGGCTGCATGAAGACAGAGGACAGCCTCTTGCTTTCAGTGCTTCTGCAGAGCAAGTTTCTCAACAGGAACTTGTAGTTCAGTACTATAGAACTGAACATCAAAAACTGTTAGCATAAGGTGCTGCCAACTCTGATCTGCTTTCAGGACACAGCTGCAGTAGATAACACTACAACAGTTTAGGACAGCCTCTTTAGTTTTCAAGGAGGATAACTGGAAGCTGCTCCTCCATCAAACTCCTCACTTGCAGTCCCACACACTGCCCTTTTAGGCCATGTCTATACTTTCTGCACTGTAGCTAGATCCTATGGCATTTGATTTAGCAGGTCTAGTACGGACCTGCTAACTCAAACCTTGAAGGTGCACCCACTTGGCACTGGTACTGCCATTTGCAAGGAGTAAGAGAAGTTTGCTCTGCTTGACCTCACTATGAAGACTGTGCCAAGCTTGACTTAAGGTACATTGGTTATTTAAGTAGCTTGAGTTGCATACTTTAAGCCAACCTTCCAGGTCTAGTATAGACCTGACCTTATGCTGAAGGGGATGATGCAAATCATATCAGGACAGGGAACTACTAGCAAAGATAACAAATCATGATTGTTCACATAATTGGTTTTACTGTATTAACTCATAACTTGTCTCATTTTGTTCCAAATAGCTTCTAAAGATTTGATTGTATAACAGCTCTAATTTTTACCATGTGTTTATAAAAATCAGGACTTCTGTTATAGTAGATGCAAGTAGAGACTGCATAGTGATGTTCTGAACACATTAAGTTAGCACACTGAAATTCTCATTGTTTTATTTCACTAAATTTGATGTGCCCAGACCTGCATTGAAATGCCTAAAACATGGTGATTTCAGGTAGTGATCGCCAACCTTTTTAAAGCACAAAATCTCTTTTTGAATTTAAGTGCAAGCTGAGATCTACCTTAAACCCAAATACCCTTGCCCTGCCTCCTTTGTGCCCTTTAAGGCTCCACCCCCTGCTCAACTCCATCCTCCCTTTCCTCATCCTCCCTCACTTTCATCAGGCGGGGCAATGGGTTGGAGTGCAGGCTCTGGTCCTGGATTAAAGGATTTGGAGTGTGAGGGGCTCACAGTTGAGTTTAGGGCAGGCAGTTGGGGTGCTGGAAGGGTTTCTAGGTGCAAGCTCTAGGAGGGTGCTTGAGGCTAGGTCTGAGCTTGGAGTGCAGGAGGGAGTTCATGACTGGGGCAGGGTTTCAGGATGTGGGCTCCAACTAGACAGTTTACATCAGATGGCTCTTGGGTGGTGGTGCAGTGGGGGCTAAGGCAGACTCATCCCTGCCCTGGCCCTGTACCATTCCTGTTGTGCTCTCACTCAGCTCTGTGGAGATCAAATAGAGGGTGGGGACGCCTTGACATCAGCATCCCTCTTCTCCTTCCCTGCACAACAAGCAGTAGGCTAGCCAGGATTGGGGAGGCAGCTGTAAGGCAAAGGGTAGGAGTTGCACAGCAGTGGGGGAAGGGGCATCAGAAGTGCCAGCACTTGATAGGCCTCTTGGCCAAACCAGTAAAGATCACCTATTAGGCACCAAGAGTCTGATCGACTGGTTGGTGACCACTGATCTAGAGGCTTAAGCATCTGATCAGCAATAGTGAGCCCTGGTTTCTAATGCCACTGAATTAGCGGGAGCTTTTAGCAAGTCATTCCCTCCATTGGGAAGGAAAGAGGTAGAAGGTTAACAAGTAACCCTCACTATTAATGGAGGAGGCTTACGGTTCTGGTTAACCCTTGAAGTCTGATCGACTGGTTGGTGACCACTGATCTAGAGGCTTAAGCATCTGATCAGCAATAGTGAGCCCTGGTTTCTAATGCCACTGAATTAGCGGGAGCTTTTAGCAAGTCATTCCCTCCATTGGGAAGGAAAGAGGTAGAAGGTTAACAAGTAACCCTCACTATTAATGGAGGAGGCTTACGGTTCTGGTTAACCCTTGAGGCTGGAGCAGCTCTCCCCCACGGCAGCTAAAGGGCTGCTCCAGCCCGTGCCCCTCCGCCCGGAGCAGCTCCTGTCCCGCCAAGAGGAGGGTCGGTGCCTAGTGTCTCAGTTTTGTTGCACTGCTTCCGCCCAACGGCCTTTGCACCTTTCCACACGAGCTCTCAAGCCCGGCTCCGGAGGACAAGGCGGCGCACTCCCGGCCCCAGGCTACTCACCAGCGGGTAAGTGGCGCTGCCTGCGCGCGGGACGCAGCCGCGATTC